CATCTGCTTGGCGGGGCTACTGCGGGGCAGGGGCAGGGGCAGGCCCTGGCCAGAAACAAGATTTTGTGTGTGCTGGGTGAACAGGGACTGGGGGACAGCCTGGGCACCCCTGTCCACTGCCAACCCCAAGCATGGGGGTGTAGGATGGCTGGGGGGAGGGCCGGTGTCCTGAAAGGGGTGGCTACCAGGAGGCCAGGGCACACTGCGGTGGGGGAGACTAGACCCAGGGTGGCCACACTTGAGCCCAAAGAGCTCCAGCTGGCTGGGACCAACACTAGGTCTGGCCCATATGCCTGGGGAAGCAGGTGTGGGGGAGGGCAGATGGCTCCCCCAGTGTCAGGGGCCAGTGACACCCACCTGGCCGCACGCACTGCAGCCCTGCCCAGCCTTCCCCCCAGCCCTCCCCAGGCCTCTGGATGCAACCACACCCCACCCCAACCCTCCCCAGCCGAATGCAGGCTTCCCCAGCCCTCCTCAGCCTTCCCCAGCCCTCCTCAGCCTTCCCCAGGCCTCCCTGCCGCCCCCCAAGTCCTCCCCAGGAGTCGGCAGGCCACCCCAGCCCTCCCCCACCTTCCCCAGCCCACCCTAGGCCTCCCAGCTGCCCCAGGCCTTGGCAGGGAGCCTCCCCCACAAACCACCAGAGCCTTTTCTGGAACTGTTTTTTCTTAGAAACAGGAAGTTGGGGTGTGGGCCACACGTCCACCAGGTCAAGGCCCTGCCAAGAACAGGGCAGGCTGGGGGTTTGGACCCCAGGGGAACTGGTCACCCTGCCCTGCTTCTTCATTGCCCGTGGGAACCCCAGATACCAAAGCAGAGAGGGACAGCAGACAGAGGAACGAGTAGGGGAAGGAGGATGCCCGGCTGCCTCGGTGGGGCCGTGGCCTAAACTGGTGCCAGCCCCAGCACTGGGGTCCCTTCTCAACCCCCTCGGTGCCGTCTCAACGAGTTCAGACACAGAGGAGCCCAGAGCGTGTGTTGCTGTTGGTCCCGCTCTTCCTCCTCCCAGTCCCCAGTCCCGTAGTCAAGGAATGTCCTTGCACAAACACACACATGTGTGTACAAGCATGCATACACGCTGGAGCAGACGCCTGCCCCAGACGAGGTGCCCCTCCCATTCCTGGGCACCTCCAGCTCTGCCAGCTCCCCGGAGGACCTGGGACCCCGTCCCCATCCCTGGTGCCCCAGACCCTTTCTCTTGTCTAGCGGAGGCCCCAGGCCCTGCGTGTCCTGCTCATTGGGCAATGTGGGAGTCTGCGACTCTACTCCTGTCCCCAGGTCTGACACCCTTGTGCGCTCACGGGAGGCCCTGTCCTGGCGGTCCCGCTGCGAGCTCCTCTGGCCAGGAGCCCGTGGAGGTGCACCACGGACATAGACTTGGATGTGAACTTGAGGCACTCTGGAGCAGCGACCCGACTCAGCCCTCCCACATCCCTTTGCATACCCAGCAGCGGGCCAGGCCAAGCTCCAGGCCCAGCAGGGTCACTGCTGGGCCCCATCCCAGCTCGCCCCCGCTGTGGGCCTGGGAACCCTAAGGCGATGGAGGACGGAGCTCGGGGCCCGTGGGGTGGGCCTGGCCGGGGAGTCTGCGTTCATTCAAGTTGCCCCGGCCTGGTACTGTCTCCTCCAAGGAGCCTGGCTAGGGCCGGCCTCGCAGGAGGGGCCAGAGGGTTCTGAGCACCAGGAGGAGGCCCTAGGGGGGATGGGGGATGTGGAGGGGGGAGGGGTTCGTGGAGGGGGGTGAGGGAACGTGGGAGGAGGGCGGAAGTGGGGACCTGGAGGGGAGGGGGCAGGCGCCTGACACTTGCAGGCTCGTGTGCAAGCCAACCTGGCTTTCCCATGCACACCCACACGTGGACGCTGTGGCTGAGCCCACAGCTCACCCTGCCTCTCTGGGTCTGTCCCCTGGGCTGCAGTGTGGCCCTGCCCCCTCCATCCCTGCCTGAGCCTCACCTGGACTCAGGTGGCCCTGGATGCATGGCCTCTAATGGGGGCCTCATGGGGAGGGGGACCCTAAGCCCCGACCTCAAGCTCCCTCCTTCACAAGGTGCGCTGTCCCCGGAGGTCTCCAAAACAGGCCTCTGTGGCAGCAAGAGTGATCTGGGCGAGAGCTTGGGCCAAACTGCCTGCCGGTAAAGGCTGCCAGGCCGGGCGTGGAGCAGGAAGGCCCGACCCCAGCCCGGCCAGACACCTGCCCGGCACAGGACGCTCCAAAGACAAGCCAGGCCGGCTCTCCACCTGCCTGTCCTCCCCCCCTGCAGTGGAGCCACCTGCTCGAGGGCTGGGAGCCTCAGCCCTCATGGCCCCCAGCCCCTGGCCCAGGCCTGGGCACAGATGGCCACGTGCATGAGGCCTGCAGGGTGCACGTCATCAATATGTGGGGGGCAGGCAGACATCCAGGCCCCAAAAGTTCTGTCCCCACCCCTCCCCAGGTCGCCTGGCAGTTGGCAGGCAGGCAGGAGGGTGCGGGGCTGCTACCCCCAGAGCACGGTGGGTTTCTGTGGGGAGGGTCCAGGATCCCCTCCAAGCCCCTGCTTTCATATCCTGCTGGGGCCGGCACCGCCAGGTCACAGCCCCACCCTTTCCTGAGAGCATAGACTGTCCTCGGGGACAGGCCTGAGAAGTAGCCAGCTCCCTCTTTTCCCTATGGGATCCCCACCTCCCTGCAGGTGGTCACCCAGGGCCCCCAGAGCAGGGCCCAGACCCCTGGCCAGCCCAGCTGCCCCAAGCTCAGCGAGCAGAGTGTGGGGTGGGGGGCCTCGGGAATACCCTGACCTGCCTGGGGAGCTCTCTGGCCTGTCTGTTCTTGGCCAGCAAGAAGGGGCGACCCTGCGACAAGACAGGCAGAGGTGAAGGAGAAAGGGTCTCGGGGCGAGCAAGGGCAGGCCGGGGCTGGGCTGAGTGGGCCAGGGAGGGGGCTGCTGGCTACAGCTGGGTCTGCACAGGGCGTGTGGGTGGGGTGGAGGCTGACACTGCAGCCCCCTGCCAGGCTCCGAGAAGGGGGAGGACCAGCTGTTACTGTAAATGGGTAGGCAGCTTCCTCTTTCCACAGAGGGCACGCCTGGCATCCGCCTCCCCAGATAAGGGCTGGGGTTCTTGGTCTGCGGTCAGCCCTTGACCACAGGGCAGTGGGTGGGGGCTGGGGGGCCAGACTGTGGCTCTGGGGCCGACAGACTGGAGGAGGAGTGGAGACCCCAAGAGGGAGACAGGCAGGCACAGCTGAGAGCGGAGGGGGCCAGGGTGGGGCCCGGCTGGTGGTAACTGAGGCAGAAGTGAAAGCTGGGGGCGGGGCATCAGGGGCAGGGACAGAAACTAGGGACCCGAGGACGTTCCCAGGAGCACCCCCTCCGCCCTGGGCTCACCTCATCCCCAGGCCTTGGGGACTTGGTCATCGGCACCAGCAGGGGAGAGCTGCCCGCACAGGGAGCCTCGCTCCGACCCAGGGCTCTGGGCAGGCAGGGCCAGGCTGCAGGACAGCCCCGTAGGGCCCTGTTGAGGTCCTGGTGGCGTGGCGCTGGTATGGGCGGTCCTGAGCCTGGGGATCCAGAAGTGGAGGGTGGTGGTCTATTTCTGACCTCTCCTGACCTTTGCCCTCCCCTGGCTTGGAGGCAGGGGACTGTAAGAATACCTGGGACGTTTCTTGCACCTTGACCTCCTCTCCCCTGGGGAAGCCGTGCTCACCCTGCATGGGCGGCGCCAAGGTGTCCGGCCCTGCCCAGACAGGGGGCCTTCGGATTCTGGCCGAGGGTCCCACAGCTTAGTGGGAAGCCACCCCTGAGAGGGGCAGGGAGCCAGGCCCAGTTGACGACTGTGCTGAGGTGGGCAGCCGTGACAGGGGGGGCCTCTACTCTTGAGGGCAGGGTCTCAGCTGTGCCCCCTTGAAGTGGGTTTGTCATCCACACATCGGGGTCCCAGGACCCCAGCCTGCGTTCCAGGGCCCGATGCACAAGAGGGAGTCGAGGTGGGTGCTGCAGCTTAGGGCCCAGCCTCGTGGTCACACTGTTTTCTCTCCCCTACCCTGCCCCCCAACCTGGTCTCTCAGACCCTAGGTGGCACCTCACAAGGGGCAGCTTGTAGGGAGGCCGGGTTCTGGGCCTGAGAGGCCTGTGAGTGACAGGCAGAGGCTGGGGTGGGCATCAGGGCTTTCTCTTGGGCCCCACTGGCCCCATGCTCCCAGCCTGCCTGGGTGGAAGCCCAGCTCTCAGGTGGAATGGGCTTTTCACCTGGATGAGGCCGTCTGCACTACAGCCCACGCTGGACCCCCTCCCCGGGGGCTCCTAGGGGTTGGTAGGGGTGAGGGGGCAGGGGGCTTCAGAGCACTTCTGGGCCCAGGTTTGCGGGGGCTTCTTGAGGTTAGGGGGAGGACATAGGGACCTGCGAGTCCTCCCAGGCTGGGGTACACCTGAGCTCCTACTCGCCCACTTTTCCTGATGACCTCTGAGAGGCCAGGGCCGGGCTGGGAGGCCAGACGTGGGTGGCCAAAGGGAGCCCAGAGATGTGGCAGTGCAGGGCACTGGGCCCAGCCCAGTGGGGTCTACAAGGTTGGGGAAGCTCCTGGCCCCTCTGCTTCTCCCTCAGGGCAGTGCGTTGAAGTCTGTAGTTCTGAAACCACATGTCCCTTCCCCATTAGAGACATAGGGTGGCTCTGCGGGGACCAGGACATGGTCCCCTCCAGTGGGCCAGGCCTCACAGGACACATGGAGGCTGTGCCAGGAAGGGTCCACCCAGCCTGGCTCCTGCCCCTGGTCTGGCCAAGCAGGGCCTCCAGCTGACATCCACAGTACAAAGAGAGGCCACAGCTCAGCGTGACCTAGGGGGACAGAGGGCACCCAGCCAGGGTGATGCCCACTGTGCCCTGTATCCACTTGGGGTCAATGGAGACAAAAGGCCCCCATGATCTGATGAGCAGATGACCCCTTCCCCTTCCTGGGCTCAGGCCGGATGGCAGCCTGGGGCCGGGGCAAAGAGTCCCGGAGAGGAGGGGCTTTGGGGGCGGCCCAAGCATGGCTGTCCCAAGCGTACTCTCAAAGTCCTTTATTGTACAATGTCATGTTAGGGGAGGGGTGCCGAAGGACTAATGCGTACACAGCGAAATAGATAAATATGCCAAGCCTTTTCTTTTTCTCTTTTTAAATCAGGCATTTATAAACAAGAAAGCATACATTAATTACATAAAAATAGTTTTCGAATAGTAGAGTAAGTCGTCATATCGTCATTAGCAGCAGCAAAGGAGAAAACAGGGACGGTGATGCAGACGCTCCTGGCGGACGTAAAGGTAGAGCTGTGTTTTTTTTCCTTAATTGAAAAAAAATGTCGTTTGTGACTCCTGACTTACAGCAAGAATGAGAGGCCTCCCTCTGGCCTGGTGGACGCGGCCGGAGGGGTGGGGGGGGTGGGGGGACGGAACCTGGGGAGCGCAGTGCCCACGGGCTGGTTGCTCGGAAAACTGGCAAAGGGTTTCTCCGTCCCCTCTGGCAGATGAGTGTGGTCTTCCTCTGTTAAAAACAACCCAGAAAACAAGACAACTACCAGGTAAGAAAAGAGTTTCCGAAAAAGGAACCACCATATACACGTATGATACAACAGTGTAAAAGGAAACCAAGTATTTACACGGTCGCTGTTTTTACATCGGCGAGTTCTGTACGAAAAGCAGAGTTATGTGTATGAGTTAGCTGCTCCATAGATATGAATGTTATTGCTGTTGTTTTTTCCCTTCGTTAAAAATCTTCCTTCAGCATAGAAATAATGAATAATTAAACTGAATACACAATCATTTCGATAATGGATATTACACACTGGGAGAGTCAACAGCCTACGAGATAGATTCCTTTTCTCCCTTCTTCTGAGAAGAAACGCAACTGCAGCTGCGCTGACAGGAGCCAGGTCTCGGCCCGGGGACGGCCCGGGCGCAGTGGTCCAGAGTGGGCCCTGCAGTGCCAGCTGCCCCTGTGACCTGGCCCCTGGAGGATGGAAGCTGCCAGGACAACCCCATGCCCCCTAGCCTCACCCAGGAGCTGCCCAGGAAGGCTCGAGCTGCTGGTGAACGGGGAGCCCACCGCGTCTGGTTCCTGCACCCCAGCTCGGGGGCTGCGGGACCCTCAGGAAGGGGCAAGGAGGGCTGGGAGGGGCAGGCCTGGGTGGGACAGGGCCCCAGGGCTCCAGTCTGCCCATCTCTCAGGGAAGAGCTGCCACTGCATATCCAGCTCTTCCTGATGTTGTAGGACAAAGCCGGCTAATGGAGGCGTGGACCCGATGGCCAAGATGTGCAGGTGACCGAAGAGGGCAATGCAAGGGCAAGGAGTGGCAGTGCCCCCGCACACAAGTGAGAAAAGTGTATCTCCCTCTGAAGTTAAACACTCAAAAGCAGACGGAGCACATTGGGGCGCCCCGGGCGACAGGTCCCACGGGCCAGCCCGGGGCCCTTGACCTCACTATGATCTTCAGACTTGGCAACAGAGCACAGCCACACAGAAGCACACTGACACACTTAAAGCTTTGCTCCAACTAAATCATTTAGTTTCCCTTGAAGAAATGACTGAAAAAACACAACTCTGGAAAAACAAGGTTGAACACAGCATTCTGAGTGTTGCATAACACACCGACCCTTTACATGACACGGTAATAATGCCCATCGAGGGATATACGTATGGCAGAGGTTTAAAATTCCATGCATACAGATTTAATAACTGCAAAAGAAAAACAAAAGCAAAAAAAAATAAAATTCCAAACAAACGCTGCATATACATGATGTCCCTTCTGCATTGCACTTTAGGAGGGGGTCCAGCAGCACCCGGCACCCCCCTGCAGTAAACCAAGGGCAAAACTCTGCAGACGCTGTCACCACCCAAGTCTCTGCTCGTTGCGGCGGCCGTGTGTACCTGCACCAGCTATCTCCACCTCCTGTCTGCACTCGCAGCTGCCGTGGTGTTAGGACCGAGTCAAGCAAAGAATTCCGGTGAGATCTTTCTTATATGAATAGATACCATAATTTTAGGATGGGTAGCCGCCTCTTGTCTACTGGGAAATCATTTTTCAAGCTTGGGCATAAGAAACCTTACAGACTTTGCATAAACAGTTGAGAGTAAACGAGATTATTTGGAATAAATGCACGTAACTTATTCTGATAGTGGCAGATTCAATCGCTACTGAAGACAGATATTTTGGGGGTAAAAAGATGAGTCAGGATTTGCTGTACAAGATGCTGGAAGGCACAGAACTACCCCCCGAAGTTCAGTTTTTGCATTTTCGTTTTCTTGTGATTCCCTTGTTCAACCAAGCACCAGAGGGGTTTCCGAACACTCGAGCACTTAGGATGTGAACTGCTCTAGAAATCGGTCTGCGATATTTGAAAAGTAGAAACCTCAGTTAACGGGAATAAAAAGAGAAGGGAAGATTTTTGACAAAGTGCAGTTCTAAATATACGTTTAAATGAACAAACAAACAAAAAGAAAAAGTGAAATAATGCTGTGTTTTGTTCCAATGCTGCAGCCTCAGTCCCAGAATGAAAGGAGCGACGTTTGTTGAACTGAGAAGGGGCCGCCGTGGGCAGGCAGCTTGTGCGCCCAGCAGCGTGGACCCGCCTTCTGTCATCTCCCAGATGGACAGAGGACGCCCCTCAGGCGCAGCGTTTCCGGACACACCTGCAATGGCACCGAGGCCGGGAGGCGCAGGCGTAAGGCGGCAGTGTTCCAGCTCATGGTGCGCGGGCGGCACTCTCCTTGCTCCTCCTGGCAGCAGCACAGGAGACCTGGGTCCTCGTCGCTGAAAAAATAGACTCTGAAGAAAAACCCTTCCTGTCCTCAAGCAGCCGCGGGCGCAGATGAGCTGTGATGGCTTCGAGGGGCAGGATGGCTGCCACCCTGGCTCCCTTGGCAGGTCCTCAGATGGCGTCACTGTTGGTGGGGCTTTTAAAAGTTAGTCATTAAAAAACGTGTTGATTTTCTGAATATCAAGTCTCCTTATTGGTTTTAAATAGCTTATAACAAAAGTGTAAATGTTAGAATGTTCCAGCAAGCCAAGGGCCAGCCGCAGCCACCGAGCTGGCCTTGTCTCTGGCTGCAGCTGGGGACTCAGCTTGCTCACTTAAACTTGGCCAGTAGAAAATTTTGCAGTGGATTCCAAAAGCATGTGGTTCCAAACACTTGCTTGGTTGTAGGCACAGTAAGACGTTGTGCTGTGTGGGCTGGAGAGGGGCAGGCCCCGCCCGGGCACACAGAGCCCCTCAGCTGGTGCCCGCCCACCCTCTCCCTGCAGCGTGCGCCCCCTCGGCAGCAGACAGTGGGTCGGGCTAGGGCTCCAGCTCGGCCATGCTCTCACTGCCCGCGGCCTCGGAGCGGGGCCGCGGCCACAGCTGCTCCTGCAGCTCCTTGACCACCTTCTCCAGGTGCTCCCGCGCCTCCCGCTCCCGCAGCAGGTCGGCCCGCAGCTGCTCGCGATCAGCCTCCGCATGCTGCAGCTTCACCTGCAGGTCTTCGATCTGAAAGGGATGCCACGTGTTAGCGGCACCCCCCACCCCCCAAACGCTGCCCTGGCCCGACCCTCCTTCCCCGTCACAGGCTCACCCCCTCCCACTGCCCGCTAGAACACACGCTTGTGAACGAGGCAGAGCCCAGCAGGGCCTGGGAGAGCCTCTTGGGTGGCACCCAGACAGGAGTCCAGACCCGCTCCTGCCACCAACCCGGCACTCGTAGTCCCTGAGAGATGGGAACTACCAAAACTCAAAGAGCAGTGGCCATTGGGCCCCTCCCCACCTCTTGAGGCCCGAGTTTCCACTGGGAGCCTGCTGCCCAGGCCAGGTCCCCAAGGCGTCAGTGACACCCCATCTCCCAGACGCTGGCTGGGCAGGACAGCCAATCAGGACGGGCTGAGACTTTTGAAAATGCATGAGGCGGAGCTGTAGTCCCCTGCCCCGAAAAAACAGGAGGGGAGGTCAGGGCTGGCTCAGAGGTTGTTTCTCCAGCAAAACCAGCAAAGAGGGGCGTGGTCAAGAGAGAAGCAACCTCCAGCGAGTCCCCACCTGTTGGCCCTGACTGGACAGAGAAGAAAGCCTGGGGCCTCCACACACTGCCCCATGGAGGACACACCCTGAAGCCCAGGAGAGCTTGCTGGCCCTCCGTGCTTGGGGCGGACCTAGTGAGGTGAGAAGGGACCCTGAAATGCCGACGGAATGTATGCCCCTTACTGCCCGGACCTGAGACACGCCGGTGCCCCGCCCTTGTCTGCCACACAGCTGCGTCTGCAGGTGGCGCTCCACGGCCTGCAGGCATGGCATGGCGCTGGGCCCTGCGAGCCTCAGTCTCCCCACCCACCACCCAGGCACCAGGCCCTGGTCTCGGGCAGCGCGGCAGAGCCCCAACCTGGATGCCCCCCACGTACCTGGGCCGAGTACTTGGCGCGCAGGCGGCCAGCCTCGCAGCCTTTGTCACACACCCGGACCTGCCGCGCCTGCTCCAGCTCCCGCTTCAGACGGAGACGTGACTCATTAGCCTCTTTCATCTTCTTCTCGTTCTCCGCTCGCAGGCGCTCAATCTCCTTCCTCAGGTTGCGCTTTGCCTCCGTGGCTTCCCGAAGCTTCTCCTTCTTGGCCACACGCAGAAACTCCAGCTCCTGGGAGGGGCGGGCAGCCAGACACTAGGCTCAAGGTGACTGCCCTGCCTGGGGACCTCACCTGCCCCGGCTCTGCTCGCCACTCCCCATAGCCAACCAAACAGCAGCTGGCCCAGCGCACCTGCTGCTCGAGCCCGCACCCCCTGTGGTCACCCTGCCGCCTCCACCTCCCACCCTCCGGACGCTCCACGGCGCCCTGGTCAGCCCCGACTCCGCAAGACGCCCCCACCAGGCCTCCCTCCACCTTCACACACCTCCTGCCTTCCCCAGCACCCTGAGCCACTCCACCAAGGTCCCAGCGTGCTTCACCACCCCTCCCCAAGGGCTCCCTCGATCTCACCAGACCCGTTTCTGGGCCTGGGGTCTGACGGGGGGCTGCCACTCTCCAAAGGTGCAGCAGGCCTCACACGCCTCCCCCCTTAAGTCCCCTCTGTGCCCCGCTGTGCAAAGCCCATGAGACTTCCTCTCAGCCTCAGGCATCGCGCCATCTGGGGGCCCTGGGACCCCACGCAGCCAGATGGAGATGGCCACCCTTGTTATCAGTGACTCAGCCCTCTGCAAACATGCTTATGAATATACATGTGGGAAGTCACACCTCCTACCAGAACCAGGGAAGAGTAGCAGGGGCAGGGCGTTCCGAGCGCCCTGAAATACACTTGGGGGAGGGCACTTGAAATCCTGGGGCTCTCAGGACCGCCAGGGTTGTGTTGTGCTAGGAGCCCACGTGAGAAGCTGTCCCAGACCTGCCAGACACAGCGGCCGGGGTGTGAATTTACTGACACTGGGTGGGCCTGAGTGAGGCCTGAAGCTCTAGTGTGAAGGCCCCACCCTCTCCTAGGTGCTGAGAACTCGCAGCCTCCTCCTCGACTTGTCAGAAAAAAAAAACAACCAGTGTGAAAAGGTGGTGCAGGGGAGACTGGCTACGGCTGAGGACCGGCCTGGGCTGCCTCCACTGTCTGCCCAGCTCAGGGCAAGAGGGGGATTCAGGCGGGGCTTAGACATCCTCAGGCCTCCAGACCCCTCTTCACAAGAAAGCAGTCACTGCTGTAGAATTATCTAGACTCTGGTGTGCAGGAAATGCAAGGTGGGGCCTTGAAGAGGCAGTGTGTGTAAGTGTGTGCAAATGCCCAGAATCCTCTCCTTCCCAAGGCGAGACTCTTAGAGCCCCCACATCCTACTTGCACACTCGCGGCTGAGAGGTGGTACCAGCAGCACTACCTTCTAGAAAAGAAAGGTCTAGGAAATGACCCCTCAAAGCCATTTTCTGCAGACAACAGGCCATGCAGGACACACTCTGGCACACCCAGAGCGCAGAACTGTTGGGCTCCTCAATAAAAACAGCCCGGCCTTCACTGCCCCCGAGCGTCAGGCTGGCTTCGTCAGGGGCCAAGCCGGGCTCAGGGCACGTCCCGCAGGCCCCGTGGGGGGAGCCATGGGCAGACCCATCGCAGGGGCCTCCTGCAAAGCCCAGAGCCGTGGGCTCCACTGAGGCTCCCGAGGAGCGCAAGAGCGTGGCGGCCTCACCTGGTGGAGGCTGCGCTTGGCCTGCAGCGCGGCGCTCAGCTTCTCCTCCTGCTTCACGCGCATCTTCACCACCTCGTGCAGGAACTTCTCTTTGGCTTCCTTGGTGTCCAGGCCGCCCTCCAGGGCCTGCCGCAGGTGCTCCAGCTCCGCCTCCAGCCCGCCGCTTGGGGTGTCAGCAGGGGCTGTGGCATCGGGGCCGGCGGGGACCGCGGGCGGGGCGTGCACGCCCGGGGAGCTCAGGTCCTTGGCCGAGCTGGATGAGGTAAAGGATGGAGAAGAGAGCGAGGACAGGGAGGAGGTGACTACAGAAACAGACAGAGACAGAAACGCCGAGTTACCAGAGCGTCCTCCGCACGCAGCTCTGCTCCAGAGGGAGGGCTGAGCTGGGCTGGGACGGACATGAGGACCCGCGGCGCCACCTGCGGCCGGAGCAGAGGAAGCCGACGCACACTTACATTCCTCCCTGCTTTCTACTTCCACCTCGGCCTCCGAGTCCTTGTCATCCTCAGGGGCGGCCACGGGCACCGGCGTCTCTGGGGCTGCAGGGGTGTCCACGGCCAGCTTCCGCTTCCTCGGCTGGATGCAGGTGGAGAGAGGCTCAGGGGCCCGGGAGACAATGGTGGCACATGGTGGGCTGCTCACGACCTTCTGCTGGGCAGGCGGTGCCAGGGCCACGTTGGGGGCCACACCCGTCTCGAAGCTCTTGTAGGAGTAAAAGCTGTGGGGACACGGCAGACATTGGGGCTGCGGGTGTCCGCCTCGCCCCCCACCTCACAGCAGCCAGGACACAAACGCTCACTGTGCTCCCTGGGAAGGTGTGGAGGAGGAGACACTTGAGCCAGGGGCCCTGGGGGAAGCTGGAACATGGACACTAGCCACCACAGTAAGTTCTAGATCTGCTCACCTTGAGGCCAATCAAAAAGACCGACACTTTTGCGACTGCTTTGACAGGGAAGTCGGGGGCCTGGGCATATAGCCCACAAAACCACCTGCACGCCGTGCACACACAGCGCTCCATGATAATGAAAACATGGACCCGCCTCACTGGCTGGTTCCATTGCCACATGGCCCAAGGTGGACGCAGGCTGGAGCAGGGACGTGGAAGCGCCTGTAACAGGGTGACACGCAGGCCCGAGAGTCGCGGAGCCACCACAGAGCGTGGCCGTGCGTGGCCAGGAACACGCGGCCTCCTCGCGTCCGCGACCAGCACAGGTTATTTTGCACTCGGGCCCCTGAGGGAGAGCCCCGAGTCTGGCGTGAGCGACAGGCGGGGCGGGCACCAGTCCTCAGACCTGTACGGCGACGACCGCTCTCGAAACACTCCCAAATTGGACCCACTCCGTTTGTTCGGAAAAACAACTCCAGTCAGCTCGAAAAAGGAAACGTCGCATTCACCAAGTAATTACTGACGCAGAGGCAGCAGAATCAACTTGTGTCCCTGCTGCCACCAGGCCTACGGTGACCGCCGGCTGCCAAGCATGGCGGGCACTCACCTGTCTCGAATCAGGGCCGGGAGGTGCGGGGAGAGCTCTTTGTCACTCGTAGAAACCGCGGGGGACCAGGGTCGGAAGGCTGAGAGGCGCTGGCGAGGATGCACGCAGCCGAGGCCCTGTAGGGGAGGAGGCGCCTGCGTCAGAGGCTGAGTGAGTGTGACATCGGCCCACCCACCCTCCCAGGACCCGCGCCCACCGCCCCGCACAGAACCTTGCTGGAGGAGCTGGCCAAGGTCCGCAGCCAGCCGGACTGTTTGTCCTTCTCAGAAGACGTGGGGTGCTGGGAGGGGGCATCATCTATTTTTCTTATGGAGGCGGGGGGCTCGGAGGAGACCTGTGAATGACACAGAAGTTCCTGTGGCACCTCAGGCGGTGTCTGCCCCGAGCCCAGGGCAGGGTCCCCAGCCAGCAGACTCAACCGTGCACGAGGTGTGCCCAGTGATGTGCACACCCTGACCCACGTGCAAGATCGGCCGGGTGCTGCTCTGGCGGGACAAACCATTTCCACGAGAACAGAGCGGGCACTGTGCACTACTTGTGGGGCCGGTACGCCATGACCTCACCCCACAGCCGCAAAGGGTTCTGGGTAGAGCGCCGAGGCCCGCTTTGCCTCCCCCAGAGCAGCTCCACTTCCCCAGGACCCAAGTGAGTTCTCAGTGGGGACTCGAGGGGACTGGCCCCTCGCCACAGCCCTGCGTATGTACTGGGAACTGGGAACCAGTCAGCAGGAACCTCAAATCCTTTGAAAGTCGGTTCAGAATGGAGCTCTGCTTCCGCCCACCAGGTGTGGCAGGTCTGGGAAGGGGCAACCCCCAGCGAGCAGGCTGTCAGCGCTGGCCAAGTATGTGGCTCCATCGGGGCCACCCAGAGCTTTCCAGGAGTGTCACACAGCGTCCCCACAATTCTGGATTTCACCAAACAGAACCCATTTCAGAGCTCCCTGTGGGCCTGCGGCAGCTGCACCGCTAGGGGTGGCAGAGCAGCCCTCTGAGAAGATCCTCCCTCCCCCAGGAAGGGAACATTCTCTACACCGTAAAGGACATCCCTCTACACCAAACGACCCGAAGTTCCCAGGAAGAGCCACCCTCCAGTCTTCCTCAGGCTCACTGTTGGAGGAGGCTCCCCCGGAGCCCAGCGCTGTGTCTGCCAGATGCCGCAGCTCCAGACCGACAAGTGACACGGAAGCTATGTTCCGAGTGGCCTCAAGCCAGCGTGAGAATGAGAACAAACTCCCCCAACCTGATGGCACAAGATTCCTGAGGGACACAGGGTCTCTTCCCAAGAAAACAGAACAGTCTTTGGAAGATGGACGGTGCCTCCCTCCAGGCCAGGACCTGAGCAGAAACCAAAATGGGCTCAGCCATGTCCAAGAGGCCTCAGGGGCCATCCAGGACAGCTGTGCCAGGGTCCACAGCATGGGCCAAAGGGACAATGCCTGGTCACTCTCCCAGGCCTGACGTCAGGAGGAGGGAGCAGATATGGGGGGTCCTCGCCTACAGCCAGGAAGCCTCCGAGAGTATTAATGCAGGGGGTGGGGGCCTCCTCCCACACCAGAAACACTTTGAGAAAACACTGTATCACAGAAGTGACCCCGTGGGGGCACGTACTTCCCTGGGTGGGGGGTGGAGGAGCAAGAGGCAAGTGGCCAGTCAAGGTGTCCTGCTCACCAGGGTTGTCACTACAAAACTCACGAGACACAGGGACTTGGGACAGGCGGGACCCCAGACAGAGAGCCCGTTGACCATGAGCCCCAGAGGAAGATCCCGCCCGGGCCCACGGAGCGAGTGAGCCAGCATGCGCGTGCGTGTGTGTGTGCGTGCGCGCGCACTGCCCCCTATGTGAGTCCTGCAGGCCCTCTGGGGACGAGGGGGCAGGGGCAACTTCACTCCAGGAAACGCATAGCCCTCGGGCCCCAGGGAGGAAAGACAACGACCTCTGACACGTGGGGCAGGAGGCTGCCGCAGGGACACACTGGCCTTTGTCCTCGGACAGAAGCAGCTGCCCCAACAGCCTGGAGCCCCGCAGCTGAGAGCCCGGTGCGGCGCAGCCCCCAGGGGGTGTCTCAGAGGGGAACCCGCAGGCGGCCACGGACAGTCTGCTCGGATGCGAAAACAGTCAGCCACGAAAGAAAGACCCACTCAGTGTTGCTTTTCAGGGGAAACAAGTCCCGGTGACGGCCAGCGGAGTCTGACCTCTGCCTGCACTGTCCAGACACCTCCCACACTGGTGAGTGCAGACGGGGCGGGGGCAGCTACGCCGGCCAGGGAGGAACTTCCTGTCTGAGCGGATATGAAACAGGGAGGAAACAGCCGAGTTCTCACCAAGAGCAAAGCCACAGCCCAGCGCCGGCTCCCGCCGATTCCGAGAAACCTCAGTGAGGCTTCTGGGGGTGCCAGACAACCTGGGCTGCCGGCTGTGGGCTGCCCCACGTGCACGGCAGGCAGCGAACGGCACCCAGCGCCCATCAGCCCCGAGCCCCACCCACTGCTGGGGGCCGGGTGGCATGCCTGCGAGGAGGGGGTGCCTTCCAGTTCAGGGACCCTGCCAGTGGGTGCTGAGCACTCAGACCCGTCCCGTTGGTTCTGGAAAAAGGGCTGGAGCCTCCTGTACCACCAGCCGCCCCCGAAGCCTGTTGTAACCTCAGGATGGGGAGGCATCTTCAGGCAGCTGGCGAGGCTCGAGATGCACATACAAAGAAAAACCCCAATGGCACTTCTATGAAGCACAACTCGTTCTCGGAAGGGTACTCGTGACAGCGAGGAAGGAGCACAAAGGGACCTGTACAAGAAGGCCAGCACCTCCACCAGGCCTGGAGGGAGCGTCTGCTCCCTCTCGCCCGAGAGGTGTCAGTTCCTCGAAGCCCATGGAAGGACATGCTTCTTCAGGCCTGGAATGCCACCGTGCCCAGCAGAGCCCACCTGGGCCCCAGCACTGGCAGATGGTCAGGGACCAAGCTGTGTCCAGTGACAGCCCACCGAGTCCCCACTCCGCTAAGGATCAGCAAGGAGGTAAGACCACTAGTCGCCTCTGGTTTCTGACCCTTCTCTGCACCTCAAAGCCAGTCCATGGGGACCTACAGCCCTCGAGGAGGGAGCAGGGCTCTGGGCCCAGAACACGCCAATGCACATGGCCCGGGGCAGTGGACAGGTCTACTGCCCTGAGCCTCCAGCGAGGAGCCCGCTGTCGGCCCCACACAGGATGGGGGGCTAAAACAGCTAGCTACAGCACTGCCCGTGGCCACTTCCCCTCAGGGGCTCCAGACAGTGGACGCCGCCCCACGCTCCAAGGACAAGGGGCAAGAGCATGTGCCACCATGCATGAGTGTGTCCACAGGCACACAGCCCAGAGCAGGATGTATGCCACCTCTGACAGAGAAGTCCACAGGGACAGCACAAAGACATCAGTCCCAGAGCAGTGGGGGCAGCTGAGTGCCCATCGTGAAGAGTGGGCTGTGGACAGTGATGGCACCCACCCAGAGCTGCTTGGCAGCAGTGTGGGTCCATCACCAAGGAGAGGACACACACGTCTACCCAGAGTGAGCCCCACTGCGGGGTTCTGCATGCTTTACCCAGGGACCTGTGCATGTTCGGAAGGATCTGGGGGTATGATTTGAGGATAACTCTACTCCTCTGACCTTCATTGTTGGCCCAAACCAGGTCTGTCAGTCAGGTCAGAGGCACCAAAATATATGGTCCATCAGACACAGGTAGAGTGGAGGTCAGGATGGCTGCTGGGGCTGTGGCCACCCCCCCAAGAGCAAAACAGAGGAGAGCAGGGCAGACTAGGGGAACGGCAGCCACCAGAAGGCACAGTAGCCTCTGGTGTCAGCCCTGGGCCTCACGCTCACAAAAGCTGTGCCGTACTTCAGTGCCCAAGCCCCAAAGGGCCCTGCAGGTCACCCCCAGCCAAGCAAACCTGGGGGGCTCCTCTCTGCAGGCAGAGGGCCCTGGACATACCTTGAGGCAGGCCCACACCCTATGCTAAGGTCCAGAGGCGGGGAAGGGAAGCTTTGGGCCCCAAGGACGAATGACTTGCCTTGGATTTCTGAGTCCCCTCCCCAGCACTCACTCACAGCCCCAGGCTCCAGGTGGGGGAGAGCAAGCCTGGCCGCTGGGCCCTGACCTGGGTGTCGGGGACCACGCACGGTAGCGAGGGCTCCCAGGAGAGATGCTGGAGCCCTGCCCCATATTTTCTTAAGAGAACGAGCTCACCACCCCTCTGCCTCCCAAGGCCGCCTGGGGATGTTCTACGAACTCCCCCACTCAGAGCCTAAACCTGGGACAGTTCTCCAGGGCCGGCCTTGCCACCTCTCATGTACCATTTCTTGCACCCTGGCCTGCAACATGTTTTTTTTTTTTTTCTTTTTGTGAGGAGATGAGCCCTGTGCTAACATCTGCCAATCCTACTCTTTTTTTGCTGAGGAAGACTGGCTCTGGACTAACACCCATGCCCATCTTCCTCCACTTTATATGGGATGCTGCCACAGCATGGCTTGACAAGCAGTGCGTCGGTGCGCGCCCGGGATCCGAACCTGTGAACCCCGGGCCGCCGCAGCGGAGGGTGCGCTCTTAACCGCTTGTGCCACCGGGCATGGCCTGCACATCTTAAAAAAGAAAGAAAAAATGTACATGGAAGAGAAGAAGGGAGAAAGAACATTCCAGATGCTGGCTGATGGCGCTGGGCTGAGGCCCGAGCGCATAGCCTCACTTGCGCATGGAGCTCTGGCTGCTACACCAGATGCTGACCAGCCCCCAGGTACCCAGTTCTGGGGTGACCCTGGCAGTGCAGAGGGGTGGCTCCCACCCAACCGCAAGGCAGAGCTGGAGGCCAGCCAGGCACAGAGCCACCGAGCGCTCACCTGGACGGGACAGAGGAAGGGAAGTCCAGCAGCAAGGACGGAACCAGCCCAGACAGCACGGGCTCAGGAGAGCAAGGCTGGGCTGGCTCCTCAGGGTTCCCGGCCCCCCAGGCCGGGGCCTTCTCAGATGCAGGCCCTGAAAGGCACAGACGCAGCAGGCAGGGCTGGAAAGGGAACACCGTCTGAACACAGCGCCAACACTCACGAGACAAGGCTGTGTGGTGACGTGCCACACCCAACACCGAGCTCACATGGGAGGGACAAGAGCCACCTGAGGGGCTGCCCAGCGGGAGGAAGTGGTCACTCTGAGTCAGTGGGAATAAAGTCACCTTTCCCACCCAGGTCCACAGACCCCAAAATTTATCCACAGGACCTTGGGGGACATGTGGGCTTCAGGCTAAGGACTCTGAACGTGAAGGGATTCAGGACTCTGCCTACTGTTATCCTGGGGCTGCAGACATTCACGGAATAAGCAGCAGTGACCTCAGGTGGGCGCCAGCTCGGCCGTGAGAAGGACCATCTGTTTGTCTCTACCTGTGTCCCGAAGCCAACGTCTGTTCAGGGCAAACCATCGACTTCAGCACACCCCCACTCACCCAGCCCAGGGGGCGTCCCCACCTGTAGGATCAGGATCTGGGGCTTCGTCACCCTCCCCCACCCCTGACATCTGCGCCCTCAGCACGCGTCACTAGGTCAGTGCCAGGCCTCAGCACCGCAAAGGCACACACGTGGAGCTCAGCTGTGTGTGCAGGCTGCTCACAACTACAAAGGCCCACGTGCACACAGTGGAAACATACACAATCAGCCCAAAGGTGAGCAGCACACCGCTCCCCACCCCATCCAGAGGGGGACTACTTTGGTTTTGTTTTCCCATCACACTAAGGTGCCCCACTGTGGCCTCGTGGCCTAAGGCTGGAGATGTGTGCTGCCCCAGATGCTGCTCAGCGGGGTTGACATCAACTGTCACCAGGTACCCTCTGGTCCAACTGTGCCAGGCACTGTGGCTGGGGGACCAGGCGGGAGTGTATGCAGAGCGAGATGCCTTGGATGCCGGCCACTGTGCGAGGGTCAGAGTGCCCAGAGCTCCAGCCCCTCTGCGCCTCCGTCAGAGATGAGATACGTTCCTACAGGGGAAACGACACTTGGGTCCCTGAACTCACTGCCGCAGGGCCAGGCCCTGGCGGCCGAGACAGGGCTGGATGACAGGAAATCTGCTCCCTGGGACCGGGGAGGTGCTCGGCAGCTGCAATGTGCTTCAGCCAGGGGCACCAGGCCCAGCTGAGTGTCAGACACAGCCCCTGGGAGGCCTGGCATGGCGGGTGTGTGTATGTATGCGTGCGTGTTGGTCTGCAGGAGGGCTGCAGGAGCCACGCTTGGCGAGGAACCTCTCTTGACAGTGTGCACACAGGAAGTGACACCCACTGTCCAGCTGACAACCTGGTCAGAGACCGCGGAAAGAAATGAGGACGGGAGACTCGCCAGGTCTGGGATGGGACAGTGTCACAATGACGCAGCTCGGTGGCAGCCAGGCCACAGAGCTCGTACCTGTCCTGGCCCAACGCTACAGGCACCCAGGCTGAGGACACGGGAGAGGTGAGATGGGCAGCCAGCACTCCCTGGCCCCCCGTGAGCTGATGACAGCAGAGCTGGGAGTCACAGGCTTCCCCATGATGCCAGAACAGAAAAGACCATCAGGAAGATCCTCTGAAGACCCTTTTCTGCCTAACACGCAGATGGTCTGGGGCTACAACCCAGTCACTTCCTTGGGGATCAGGAAACGGAATTTCGAAGTCACAGATGAGAGACGAAGAGCAGAATCCCTATCTTCCCAAGAGCCCCAGCTCACTGTGGGACAGACACCAAAGGGCTCAAATAGGATGAAAGATCAATGCCCCAGACCCAGAGAGGCTCCCCAGCGTCCAGGAGCATGCTAACCCCTTTGAGACGCCGTGGCGGTGGACGACTTACCAAAATCTAAGACCGTGGAGAGCTGCGAGCTGCACACATCCTCCAAGGGGAGCGCAGCACTGAAGGCCTAAAGGCCTGGGCCACAACTTGGGCCACGTGGTCATCGGCACCTCGGCCGGAGCGGCCATGAAGGCTGCCCACAGGGGCACCCACCGCAGGCTGAACCCAGTCTGCATGCCCTACGGCTGATGGCTCCACCGCTCGGGGCACTGAGAGCCTTCGGCAGTCAGCTCGGCCAGCTCCCCACAGCCTCGGCGCTTCACTTCAGCAGAGCACAGTCCTGTTCCCTCACAGGCCCATTCAGAGATGCCATGCGGGAGGGCGCGGGCAGAACCTGCTGTCCTGTCCACCGAGGCAGTCCTGAGGCAGGGACCCGGTCACCGTAGGCAGCACCCAGCTGCTGGTCCTCAGCCTGGCACTCTGGGCACTGTGCTTATCCAACTCGGTTGTTAATGCCTGGTTACTAATGAAAAGGCAAACAAGGGGCCCTAGACCAAAGCCCCTTTCCCTCTTACTGCCAATTCAGTGCTGACGGTCCCTGCCTTGAACCTTCCAGACACAAGGGTTTGAGTCAACCTTTGCAGAGAGGGTTCATACACATAAAATCAAAACAAAGCACCACCGGACACAAGCCTACACACTGGCTCGGCATCCAAGGGGTCAAAGGGTCCCTGTGTCTTGCAGTGCCCACCAAGGGCAACTCGCAAACACACAGGCAGCACCGCTCCAGGCCTGGTTTAGCGACAGTGGAGGAAGTCGCAATTGCCAAGTTTGGAAATGACCTCAGATGAAGTTCTCATGATGCTCACTGCTGAGGGCACTACTGAGGTGTGGCGTGGCAAGGAGGTGGCGGCCAGGGGCCACCTGCATCACACTGGTTGACCTTCACTCACGCTTGAGAGAACAAGCCATTCCTACAAGCTCCAGGTCAGCTAATTCCCTTTGTCCAAGAGAGGCCAGCTGCGCAGAGAGAAGCTGGCGGTGGCGGAGGAAGACAGGCCAAGGCCCCCAGTCTACCGCCCCACAGAGAGCGAGCAATGAGGGCCCAGGGCCTCCAGGTAACCCCGCCAAGGCCCAGGAGGGTGGAGAAGCTAAGCCGCCAGGAGGCCATGGTCATGTCCCCAGTGGAGTGTTTTGGTGGGGTGAGGCCAATTGGGCTCCAGAGAGAGAAGCAGCATCTGCACTTGGCAGGGGCTGGACCATGGAGCAAAGGCCTCAGGCCACTCCTTGGAGACGGAGCTTCCCCAATTCCATGCCAACATTTCTGGAGGTGCCGGTCCGCAAGCAGGACCCAGAGACTTGAGTGCCCTACAAAGGCCCACGGCGCCAGTGGGAAGGGCTCTGTGGGGAGGCAGCAGAGGGTCCCCAAGTAGGGGAGAGGGACCCCGGACAAGGCCTGGACACCAAGCACTCTGCAGCCGGATGGTGCAGAAGGCAGCCTGGGGGCCGCGCGCACACACCCTGGGCCACGCATAGTGACCACTTCTTGTTTTTTGTTCATCAGCAGACAAAAGGCCCCATTCAGCGGGTGGGTCTTCAGAGTGGCCAGAATTAGTATAAATCCATTTCCAAAGGTTTGCACCCCACCTGCAAGCCTGCTGCCTGGCCCCCAGGCAGCCTAACCTGGAGGCTGACCGCCACACCTCAAACAGGTCTCTTCACCGTTGCTGGCTACGAGGCACAGTGTGAGGGTCAGAGGACAAAGCGCAGAAAACGCCGGACCCAGCACCTGGCAAAGAGGCTGCAATGCCGACAGGTGTCCCACCTCTGCCCAGCCATGGCCACGACTCATACCAGAGACGCCACATCTCCGTCCAGAAGTCTAGTGATGCCTACTCCAAAGGAGGGCATTTAGAGAAGTGGCTCTAGCGATGTCGACACAACCTCCTCCACCAAAACAACTCAGCCAGTTAGAGAAAAGCATTTTCCTTTTTTTTTAATCTTACAGTGGTCAATTTGTTAAAAGGATAGCACCAGCCTTGGTGTCCACTCCACAGAGCCCGAGGTCTGCACGGGCCAAGGGCTTGCCGTCGAGCCGCCATGAGTAGCACAGTGTGCAGATATCCGGCTGAGAAGCCCTTTGGGAAAGCGAACAGATATTAGGACAATCGTCAGCCTCTCCATGGAGGCAGCTTCATTATTGCAATTAAACATCACACAGCAGGCACAAGTTCCATGAGATCAACCCGAGGGGCCACGTCCCAACTTCATGGGTGCGAACACACGCCCTCCTGGGTGAGCAGTGCTCCCCATGTGAAGCTAACACAGAGCTTGGGTGTGCACTTCTCATGCACACGCTCTGGTGCGCAACACACCTGCCCTGCAACCCCCTCTATCATCTCCTCTGCACCCCTCCATCACTCTCCCTAGCATCCCCTCCTGTACCCTCTCCCACCAGGTCGCAGCCCACGAGGAGAGCCTTCTAAGGGGACAGGTGGAGCTGCCCGGCATGCTACGGAGAGCAGCCAGTCTCAGATCTGACCTGCGAGCAGCTATTCACCTGCACAGCGTCTGTACCATGTTTGGTGGCACCAGACCGAGTTCCACACCAAAGGGATGGGCAGGCTGTGCTAGGAGCTGGGGAGAGCACCTCATCAAACATCCAAAGCTGTTCTGATTTCAGTGGAAGAGTTTCTGGGAACTGCCAAGAGGTACCAACTGCCTCTGGGAAGCAGCCTGTGGTCCTGTTTCTGAAAGACCCCTCACTGAGCACCGCTACCAAGATTGGCTTATTTTCTACGTGGCTGAAAAGCAGTTTCTTAAAACCCAAACCTCATCTCTGGTTCTCACGTGTTCCTACCATGCTCTCCCAGTGGGGCGGCCCGCACCACAGAGAACCGGCAGGGGCCCTGCCGCCCTGTGTCCACATTCCTGTTGGGAGGCCCCTTCACGCCCTCTCAGCAAAGACTGTTTTTGTGCTGCTTCACTACAATAAACTGCTTCCTTAAACCAAACCCAACGACCGAAATGTCTACAGAGCCAAGGCTACTATGTATAGTAAGGTTTTCACTCTAGGAACTATGAACATCGCAACGGTCCCAGCCTCCCCTCACCCAAAAAACCCCAACTGCTTAGATGACCCCAAAGCACAAGGAACAAAAGATAAAATAGAAAAGAGGGAATTCATCAAAACCAAAAACTTTTGGGCAGGCCCGGTGGCATAGCAGTTAAGTTCGTGCGCTCTACTTTGGCGGCCTGGGGTTCGCAGGTTTGGATCCCAGGCATGGACTGACGCACCGCTTATGAAGCCATGCCTTGGCAGCGTCCCACATAAAGTAGAGGAAGATGGGCACAGATGTCAGCCCAGAGCCAATCTTCCTCAGCAAAAAAGAGGAAGATTGGCAACATGTTAGCTCAGGGCTAATCTTCCTCAAAAAAACAAACAAACAAAAAAACAAAGATTCTTGCGTTTCAAAGGACACCATCAAGAAAGTAAAAGGACGACCCATGGAATGGGAGCAACTTTTACAAATCAGCTCTCTGTTAGGGGACCAGACCTCATTAACAACTTCTCCTCAACACAAAACCACCCAATTAAGAAAAGGGCAAAGGACGTGAAGAGACACTCCTCCAAAGAGGACGCGCCATGGCCAATCAGCACACGCAGAGATGCTCAGCAGCACCAATCACCAGGGAGATGCAGGCCTGACCGCACTGTGACACCACCTCACACTCTGTGGGATGGCTGTGATCGAAACCTAGAGAAGAGTGAGGGCTGGCAAGGATGGGGGAACCGCAGCCTCACCCACTGCTGGTGGGGAGGGAAAACGGTGTGGCCACTGTGGAAGGCAGTACGAGCGTTCCTCAAAAAGCTCAACACAGAATCACCAGGCGACCCAGCAATCCCACTCCTCGGGAAGTACTAGAAAGAACTGAAAAGGACTCAAACACGCGTACTGTAGTTCTGCCAGATGTTACCGTTGGAGGAGCCCTGATGAAGCACGCAGGGAAGGACTCGGTGACTCCTACAGCTGCCTGTGAACCAGCAACGATCACAACAAAAGACGAACTAAACAGTCGATGCACTGCCACTTCACACTCACGAGGATGGCAGTACCTTCTTAAAAGATGGGCCACACAAAGTGTTGGTGACAACACGGAGAAGTCGGCAGCCTTGCACATTGCTGGTGGGGAGGTGAAGGGCAGCGGCCGCCGCGGAACAGTGTGGTGGCTCCTTGGAAAGTTAAGACAGGATTACCATGTGACCCAGCAACCCCACTCCTGGGCAGACACTCAAGATGACTGAAAACACACGTCCACACAAAAACGTGTGCACGAGTGTTCACAGTAGCACCATTCACGAGAGCCAAAAAGTAGAAATAACCCAAATGTCCATCAACGAATGAACAGATAAACAAAACGGTCCACCCACACAGTGGGGTATTATTCAGCCTTAACAGGAGTGAAGCACTGACACGGCTACGATGTGGATGAACTTTGAAAGCATGACGCTCGGTGAGAAGCCAGACACAACAAGTCATACACTGCGTGATTCCACTTATGTGACAAGTCCAGAACAGGCAAATCCACAGACAGCAAGTGAGTGAGTGTGCTGGGGCGGTGGGGATGGGTGAGAACTACTGGATACAGGGTTTCTTTTTGGTGTAGTGAAAATGTTCTAAAATTAGATAATGGGGATGGTTGCCTATACTAAAAACTACTGAATTGTACTCTTACAAAGGGTGAATTTTATGGTATGTGAATTGTATCTCAATAAATCTGTTACCAAAAAAAATCGATTAAGGGCTGGCCCGGTGGCATAGCGGCTAAGTTGGCACACTCCCCTTTGGCGGCCCAGGGTCCATGGTTCGGATCCTGGGCATGGACCTTGCACTGCTTATCAAGCCATGCTGTGGCAGTGTCCCATATAAAGTAGAGGAAGATGGGCATGGACGTTAGCCCAGGACCAGTCTTCCTCAACAAAAAGAGGATTGGCAACGGATGTTAGCTCAGGGCTGATCTTCCTCATACACACAAAAAAATCGATTAAAAAAAAAAAAGACATGAAATGAATTGTTGGTTGAAAAACCAAACTGCCGAGGTCAACGGCTTTCCCTGACTGACAGTCCTCCCAGCAAAGGACAGAACAAGGTGCCTGAGGAGCCCAGGGGAGCAGCTCAGAGTTGCCACAGGTGGTGCCATGACAAGGAGAAACGCCTGCAAAGCGAAGCAGCCCAAGGGGCACCACCTCCTCCCGGGCACGCCGCCGGGGCTCTCACGGAGCTGCCGAGCAGGATCACTAGAATACACAGGGTCTCCAACGCCAGCACCAGGGCGTCATGGGCCTTCCCTTGGAAGGCCAGGTTTCACAAACAAACCATCAGGAAAAGAACACCCTGTCAGGATTCAGGTCCCAGGGGGCCCCTCCCGGACATGCAGAACGTGCTGGTCTACAACATGGAGTGAGCGGCGGCAAGGACTCCATGGAGGGCGGGGTCTCGCCTGGCACAGATCACTGCTCATTCCCACTGAGCCAGGCCCCGGGGCCAGGAGACCGGCTGGCGGGTGGGGGCCTGGGCCACAGACACCCAGAGGCAGCTCTGTGTCAGGTGGGGGATGGGCACCCTACGTCAGCTCTGGGCGAGATGACAGGGCCAGCGTCTGCTGAGCACCTGGCCAGGCAGCCAGGGGACATCCAGGATGACAACGTGGCCCTGGCCAGGGTCCTGTGGGGGCAAGGGCAGGGCTACATGGAAACAGGGGCTCAGGTAAGGAGGGCCCTGGGCCCCGGCCAGGCATGGAGGGCATCTGCAAGGTTCCTGATGCCCAGTCTGGCCTCTACCTCCCAAAGCGCTGTGGCCTGGTGTCCTGGGCAGCAGGCACCACGGGAGGCCCATCCCAGCCGGCTCTCCCAAACCTAGTGCCAAGTGACAGGTGGCAGTGCTTGAGACCACCACTGCGCACAGCAAGAGGACCAGGAGAACAGTACCCAAGCCCCCCGCACCGGACCTGAGACCGCTACTCTTGAGTCACCAAGCTGGCATCCAT